CCTTGTCTCAAATCCTTTTTGGCAGAAAAATACCCTACTGAACCACCATTAACTCCAATACTTAACTTCGGAGTGGTAGCACACATTCTTAACCAGGCAAGAAATATATCAGGGAAACCCATTGCTTGAAGTACGTTGAACAGAAATCCCCAATCCACAGAGTCAAACGCTTTCATTAGATCAACTTTCACAACGGATCTAGGAGAAATATTTTTCCTACCATATTTCTGAACTAATTCATGAGCAAGCAAAATGTTTTCACCAATGACTCGACCCTTAACAAAAGCAGTCTGAGATTCGCTAATAAAACTTGGCATGACAGAACTTAGTCTAGTCGCCAGGATCTTAGCCATGCACTTATAGAGTATATTGCAACATCAAATAGGACGAAAAAACTTCATTTTCTCAAGACTTTGTATTTTGGGAATGAGGGCTAAGAGTGTGGAATTTATGCTAACAGGGATGCTAGACACGTGAAAACAATAAAGAATAGCAGTAGTTACCTCATTACCCACAATACTCCAGGCAGCTTGGAAGAAACAAGCGGGATAACCATCAGGGCCAGGAGCCTTCTCCCCATTAAAACCAAACAGAGTGGTTTTGATTTCCTCAGCAGTAACTGGTCTACACAGGTCATCTCCTTGTTCAGGCAACAGTTTCTTCATCAAGATCTCTCTAATCTGATCTACTTCAGGAGGAACAACTTCCTTATCTTTCTCCCCCCCCCCCCAATAGTTTTCTATAAAACCCCTCATTAATAAGGGATCTTATCATATTTCTCTATCTGCTACCCTGTTACCCTGTGACCAGCCTCTGCAATCTTTGTCTAAAAAATTACTCTTCAGCCTCACGCAACTCTTTAGCCTCTTTTTCAATTCTGACCTCAGCTTCAAAAGTATATAGAGACGGATTATTGAGCGCATCAGCTTGTGCCACAAGAAGTTCAGCAGCCTTTAAACGAACTCGCTCACTCAAATCTGAATAAACATCCTTATTAAGTTTCTTTAAGAAACCCTTTAGAATCTTCAACTTCTGAGAAACACGAACTAGTGGAGAGCCTTCAACCTGTGAGTTCCAGGCCTGCTTAACCAGATCCATGAATTGAGGATGTTGAATCCAGAATTTAAAAAACTTAAATAGTTTAGGCAAAGACTTGAATGAACAGTCTGAGTTAAGTAGTGTAGGACAGTGATCAGACACTGATGGGTCAAGAAGAACCACAGAACTTGAAGACAAATCCTCCAACCACTTCGTGTTAACAAAAACTCGATAAAGTCTTCTGGCTATGGGATTTCCTTGTTGTTTATTGATCCATGTAAACCACGGCCCTGAAATCTTATGCTCCTCCAACTCACAATCATACTGCCATTGTCGAAAATCAAACATGCTACTAGAAAATTGAGGGGAAATAGAAGCCTCAAGCGGATCCCCAATAGTATTAAAATCACCCAATAGCCCATGGAAGAGAGCTAACTTGATACTTAACCAAATCCAAATAAAGGAGTCTTCTGTCAACTTCTTCATATGAAGCATAAACCACAGACATAAAGAAAGGAACCCCAGATCCAACCATCAAATGAATGAATCGATCCGTTGCATGAATAACTCGAAGAATCACATCTGTCTTCCAAAGAATCCATAACTTCCCCAATCCCGCGGAATTATTCGAAACCTTTGACTTCCAGCCAGGAAACCTCCTATTTATTAGCTCATCAGCCTTGTTTGCTCTAACTCTATGCTCTAGTATAACTATAATATCTATATTGTTTCTATTTACTAGCTGTTGAACAGCTTTATTCTTATCCGGGTCATTAAAACCCCGGATGTTCCAGGTAAGTATCTTCATCTTTTCTTACCAGCCCTCCCCCCTTTACGATGAAGAACAAGTGCTGCAACTCTAAGGGTGGTAAGGTTCTTCTTTGAGCCCCCAACTGTTATCCATGGATTCGGTTCCTTCTCCTTTACAAGTGTAAGAGTCTGAGAACTAGCCTCCCAGAACCTGGTGGACTAATCTCAGCAGACTGCTGCGGTGGTGAACTAGGACTCCCAGTTTCAACTGATGATCCTAGAGCCACATCCACAAACCTTACAGTTACACTCCCAATTGATTGAGGAGTAGGAGACACTTGACCCCTGCTGAGTTTGGATTTTGGTCACTCTCACCAGCAGCACACTCCCCCTTCTGCATCAAATCCTCCAATACCACATTGACTACAGAACTAACTATGGCATTACTTTCTTTAGTCTGCTGTACATAACCTTCTACAGTTTTCTCCCCAGATCTAGCACCTGCTTGCCCTAAATTTAACCCATCACTTGGCTTAACAACTCCTTGAGCATTTACTTTTGTCTTGACTACCCATTTCTTGTTGTTCTTAGCCAAAAATTACAATCGTGACCATACACAGCACAGACAGGGCAAACCCTAGACAAATTCATATACTCAATTTCAACATCAAAGGGCGGATCATCATCAGGGTAGAGACGAGTCTTCGAGGGGAAGCCACAATCAGCTGCAAGATCCACACACACTTTAGCAAACCCCAACTGTCCACCCACCCTTGTGGTTTTATCCATCCAGAGGGAAGGACCCAGAGTACTAGCAAACCATTCCAAACCATCGAGCGAGTGATACTCCAAAGGAATCCCCCAAATATTCAACCAGATAGGAAAAGTCTCTACCTGAGGAGCAACCGCCTGAATCCCCAGAACCCACTTCCTGAGATAGAGCTGATTCCCTTGATAATGCCACGGCCCCGATTAGAAGACCCACTTGCTCGTAGACGCAGAGGGAAACTGAAAACAAACAGACGAGGCCCAAATCTGGACACACGAACTATCCCATCCCTCCCCCAAATTGCAGTACCCAGGTTTGAAGTTGCGCCACCTTAGGTTGAGCTCCGACGAATTTCCCAATCAGACATTCACGCCATTGCTCTTCCCCCTTTTCCTTAACCTCCTGGGGAATTCAAAATCCATCATTGACACGCTCTTGCGGGCGATATTTCATCATGTTCTCCGGAGCTATGTCGAATAACTGCGCCCAAGTACTACCCCCAGAACCCTTTCCCGTCGTCGGAGTAGGTTCCGACGACGAGGCCGCCATCGCAAGAGAACGGGACGGTTCGTTGAGAGAGGTTAGAGAAAGCTATTATTGATGAATTATCTAAATTTTTCCTACAATATTTTTATAGAAAAATTGGACTCTCTTATAAAAAGTTCAGGCTACCAACAAGGCAACAACCAACTTCATGGTTTGTTATATAATTGGTTTATATAAAGAAGAGGTAGCTTATATATTACAACATCGTTCATATATGGTGAGGTGATGGTCTTTTTGCCAACTGTCCAGTTTGGAAAATATATTGAATAATCGATTAAAAAGTCAATACTTTATTTAACCTATTTATAGGTGGGAATAACCACAATATCAAGATATAGAATTTCTAATAATTCTTTATCTCTAAATTTTGAAAATTGGAAATATCTAAAGATAAAAATCTACAATAGAAAAGATAACAAAATAACATAACATATTACTGAATCCACAGTGCAAATCATTTTCTTCAAATGACCCTTAGGAGTTAGGATATTGTTTATGTTAATTATGATTTGGTATATGGACCATGGAACTATGGAAGCCTATTCTAGAATACAAGGCTAAATTCACGGTTGTCATGTCGGCGGCGTGCCACCAGTTAAACTTGGTTCAACCGGTACCGGTTATAAAATCGGCGTGACACCACCGACATGATCGATATATGAATCTCTAAATAAAATGATCATATGTTAGTGAATTTAATTGATAAAAATTATTTTATTATTTATTTTATGAGTATAAAAGTTAAATATTGGTGTTATTTGTTGGATTCAAGTATAAATGTTTAGATATTGACGTTAAATGTCATGTTTAAATATGAGGATTTATAATTTTATTTGTAATATTGACCGACAAGAACAGGCACAAGTCGGTATCTGCCACCAATCGAACCATTTCACCTGCTAAACCGGCACACGAACATAAATCGGTTTTACAAACTTGGCTAAATTGAACTCTGCGGCCCATCCTTTGCTTTTCCACGGGCCAATGAGTTAACTAGGCCTTGGGTACTGTCTCAGTTTGGTTCAAGATTTTGTATGTAACCTTTGGCCCAACTCGTGCATATGTCACGGTCGAATTGTGAACTCGAAAGTTCCATGTTAGCAAAGTTGTCAACTTGATTTAGCTCTTGTTGAGCTAGCGGGTTGAGGGTTAATGATCATATATCTTTATTTAATTTAGCTTATATATATGAAAAAAGTTATTATATTGTTCGAAATTATAAATTATATCAAATCTAATGTAAATATATGAGTAATTATATATAATATGCATTAAAACAAAATAACAGTTTGTACTTGGATCCAACAAATAATAAAAACTCAAACACGATCATATAACATTGATTTTCAAATGTTCAACTTAGAATTTAAAAAATGGGATTAAGCGTAAGATAAAACTGAAAAAAATGCAATTCACAAACCAAAGAAGAAAAAAAACGATTTCGTGATTCCGAACCGAAATACGTTATTGCAGCTCGATCGTGGGTATATAGCACCCACTTTTTTCATCAGGTCCAAATCAATTCAGGTCAAACCACACGTAGACCTCGAGTTAACAACCTTGGGTGTTAAGCAAACACACCAGTGAATATATCACTGATATGTGGGGAAAAAAAATTAAAATGAAAAACGAACTGCTGCCCTCAAGCTTCTGGGCATTCAGTTCTCTCCTGCATGGCTGCATTGGGAAATTTAGAAGTCTTTACGTCGACTGACCCCCTCCAACGACCAACAACCTGAGTCGCCCTCTATATTGGACTGTTAGTTGACCTATGTCTCTATGGTTTGCTTCAATTCCATCCCAATTTGTTTTTTTTTTTTTTTTACAAGGCTCTAATTCCATCCATTGTTAACAATAAATAAGTGGTGATTCAAATATTTACTCCCTATCACGTCGGGAATAACAGTAATAGTAATTGAAAAGCAAAAGTTGTTGGGAAAGTCATAAAAGCAGCTCCCAATTCCAGAAAGCTCTTCTGGGAACTTACAGAGCAATCTACTTGGCCAATAAGTTTACATGCAAGCACACCCACTAACTACCGAAACACAGCCAAAGTTGCAGTATAAATAACGCGCCTAATCCATCACAACCCCACGTCCAACCTTGTCAAGTTTCATACGAGAGAGCCAACACTCGCAAAAACACTATCTTTGCAGGAATCTAAGATATCAGGAAAAGATCAGGATAGCAGCGGCATAAGTCTAGCGGTTGCTGCTGTGGCCGGGGTAGCAGCTGCAGCTTACGGGATAGCTTCCCTCTTTTCAGGCTCTGAAAGCACCAGCACCAACGGGAAGACCATGAAAGCTCCTGGAAGGGACGCCCGCATTCTCAGGGATGATTTCGAGAGGAACCCTTCTGGGTACTTCCGCGATCTTCGCAACAAGTAGATGATGAAGAAGAAAGCTTCATGAGAAGGCTATCCTCCTGTTGTAGTAGAATAAGAGACACCCCTCCCCCTCTCTGTGTTCCATCTGTTATCGTTTTCGCTCCTGCTAGTGCTACCCCTTTCCGTTATGTCTAATCTGAATGATGTTTAAAATGCTGCCCTAGTAATCTGCATTTCGAAGTTTGCATTCCATTGAGACTCATAAGTCATAATTCTTTACATCCGTATCATTCTGGTGCATCGCTTCCACTGTGCAGAACTAGGAATAAATTGCATTAACAACTTCAGAGTAGGCCAAAATTTGGATTCCTATCATGGTTCATGCCTCTAGTAGCTTGCCATGGAGGCGAAAAAATAAATTAACACAACACCCAGAAAGCAGCATGAAATGTTTCAAGCACAGGAGCAAGAACCTCACCAATTCTCATCTTCTGCGCTTCCTGCCTTTTCCTAACTGGCCAGATTTGAAAGCACTCTCCTGTTCTTGAAGGAATGCCTTTGCCTTACCGTGTGCCTCCATTTTTTCTTCCTCCCTCAGGGCCCTCTCTCTTGCCTTCACGTCCAGCAAGAAATAGTTGTCTTTCCGTAATTCACGAGCTGCTCCTTTAGCTTCCTGTCTTAGTTCTTTCTTCAACTTCTTCCTCTCTACCCTCTCTCGATCTGGGTCATAGTCTCTACCTTTCACATAGCTGCACACAGAATTGAAGAAGAAGAAGAAAAAAGAAGAAAATATAGTGTTCAATGTCTGCACTCTTAAAACGGGTTTCAAGAAACACCAGAAACTGTGAAGAGATTAAATGGAGGTGGCTAATATACTTCTCTTCGAATTTCGGGGTAAGTAATTTGATGGGGACTGGCTTCTGCTTCCGTATCTGTAGTGGTTGACGCAGGAGATGATGGTCATCAGCTTTCTGCTTTATGAGGAGAGCAACTTCTTTCGATTTCTCCTGTAATCCAGGCGGCATGTTTCCCTGTTCTGCCAACCCTAGCAATAATGTTGAAATAGGTAGGAAGGTTTCAGGGAAGGAACTGAGCCCTCCGTACATTTCAACAAACCCCTTTAGATTTTCTATCACAGTGATCAGCACGCTTGCCCTGCATAAGGGTTCTCATGTCAATTTAGCAGTCATTTAAGACTATCGGAAAGCTTAGAATCATCAGGGCACTTGATTATGCATTTGTACCCAGAAACTTTGAAACTTGCATTTAAACAGAGGAATGGCAGGACTCGAAATTTCAGAAACAGCAATTTCTCAATGAGGTTGCAATTTAGGAAGATAGCATATATCTGTACCTGAAATTGTCCGAGGCAAAAAGCGACGAGTCTTCTGGCATATCCATTACTGAAAGGAAACTAGCAGGGCTAATCTCTGGCACATCATCACGTATATTAAGCAGGGGCCTAAGTTCCTTTAACTCTCTGATGGGATGAAACTGAAACAAAAAGAAAAGAACACAAGCGTAGTTACCAGTTAGTGCTTGGCCATTCAAATAAAACAGCAGCAGATCACACTGAGACATAGCCAACAAGTACAGGGAAATTTGAAGGCACCCGTCATTTATGCAAACGAAACAAAAACAAACTTGGATCGTTTGAATGTGAAATTTCTTAGTAGGTGGGTGACGGAAGGATTTGCTAAAAGATGGATAGTGGAATTAGGTTGAATTAGAGATATGTTGTTTGCATGTGTGATTTCAAGTGCATGAATGCTGATAGAGGAAATTACAAAATTGGGAATGTAAAAGTGCAACCTCTTTGTTTTGTTTTGTGTTGTCCTCCATTCCTTTTTATGTTTCGATCGAAAATAAGTACAAACTGTCTGACAATTGAGAGATTTTGAATTCCACTTTCTTTCAGTAGATGGAATTACAAATCACGAATTTATACACTGATAGAAATCTTCCACTAAAACAAACAAGTGATTTTTCGCATTCCATCAGTTGACAACCTCTTAACGATACTTATTAGTTTTGACAACCTCTTAACGATACTTATTAGTTATGACAACCTATAACAAAAACTAACAACCATACCAGTTTATACCTGAGATTCTTGATGAGAGTCTGGCAATCTTTGGCTGGCTGCCAATAAGCAGGGTTCGTAGAAAAATTATAGCCTCAGGGCAAAACTTCCGAGAATCTCTAGTGATCTGTAACATATTTGTATCAATTAAAATAGTTTTTGAAAGTCTCTAATGCAAATTAAATTAGGTTGTGAAATACAAGTGACACACCAGTAATAGAAAGTGATTATAGAATAGAGAAATCAAAGATGGACCAAATGTACATACAGAGAGAACCATGGAGCATAAGAAAGAGCCAACAGCAATATCACGACCAGATGAGATGGGGCAACGCATCAAATATTCACACATGAGTAATATTGCTGGCGTCATGACGACATGGCGGAAGTCTGAGCATGGGAAAATCATGGACCACAACCTCAACAACGACAATGTTTTCAAAGATGGCCAACAACTCCCTTCTGCAAGAAAAAGAATGAATCCCATTAAACCAAAGGGCAGTCTGAACACTTTCTGAAGAAACCAACCACTCTCATGTTCAAGTTCACAACCAACCTTGACTCTTTATTGACTCACAAAACTGCGATCTAGTTTTCAAAATACGCTGTCGAGCACAGATTGCAGAGAAATAGGGGATCTCCAAGCTCATCTCCATTAGGGGCTTGACAAGCAAATTCAACAGCTCGAAATTCAAGGGCTTTTTATTAGCTAGAACTGCGAAGTACTGCAACAGTACACCATAGAATATCTGGCGAAGAGCAAACACTAATTAGCAATAGTGATAGTATATCAACTGCTGTAGTAATAATTACAACTTATACTATATCTGGTTAGCTGTACGGGAATCAAAAGCAATAATAAAGCTTGAATCAATCCATTCACACCTGCGTACTATCTTGTGCGTCCTCTAAAGAATAACCTGATTTATTAAAATAACACCTTATGATATTTTATCTCGGAAAGAACGGAGCAAGAGTCATGCCTTCAGGAAATCAAAGGTTATGATACCCAAATGAAAGCATTATCTTCAATAGGCAACCTTTTCACCATGTTGAATTTCTATTAGCACCACTTCCAAACTTACTATATAAACCAGCCTCGAGACTGTAGGATCAGCAGTGACCATTAACCGAACATTCCACAAACATTTAAAAACTTATTAACTGCCAGCTGGATATCAAATAAACCTTCATACCTGCATTTTCTTCCTGTTTTCTGCAGCGAGCTTTATTGCATTGCTTGCTCGAATTCGATTGACTACAACAAGGATGTCACTATTAGAACGATTGTCTATCAAGGCACAAAGTTCTTCCATACTCTTTGGGGCTTCAATCAAGAATGGAATGTCTAGTTGCACTGATCGCCGTTCACTGGTTGTTTTGTTTTCTTAGCATTCTGAGTTTCATCATTAACTTCCGCGGGTTTGGTCACAGCACTTTTCTTTGACCTTTTCACGCCAATCGGCTCAGTAACTTTCTTTCCATCATCAATTTTCTCATCATCATCATCGTCATCATCATCTTCTTCCAAATCTGTATCAAGATTCTCATCATCACTCTGTTCCCAGTCCTTCAAAGACTGGGCCTTGTCACGTGCATCCTCGTCACTTTCTTCCTCCGATCCTTCATCATCTTCACCAGTCTCAGCCTCAGAAGCGTCATCCTCTTCAGCTTCCTCTCTTTCAAGGATCTCATCAACCCATCCCTTTCTAGTTCCAGCTCTTCAACAGAAAAGGAATCACCAAGATCATCGCCAGATGCTGATTGACGTTTCTGGTTTGAGGCCATCTCAGTGTCACCGTTGTCTTCATCACTCGAATCTTCAGCTGCGACCATTCTTTCTGCCTCTCCTCCTGAAATCATCAGGTGGAACGATAATATGAGAGGTCAAACTACAATCTAGTGAGCTACATTGTTAGATCACAAACCTGAAAAGCTCAAAGTACAGTTTGGATACAGCGGGGCTCTACAGAAGTACTTTCCATACAATGAAAGAAGGCACTACCTCATATATGCACATATTTCCTATTTCTCTTATTGGTAAAGTACACTTTGGATGCAGCAGGGCTCTACAAAAGTACTTTCCATTACAATGAAAGAAGGCACTACCTCATATATGCACATCGTTCCTATTTCTCTTATTGGTAACCATAGCAAGATTTCAAACCTTTCCACGCAGTTTTATACTTCACAGGTACTCAAATTTATAAGCAAAAGGCCAAGCCCTAAGTGCACTAAGGGGTCGTTTGGATAGATCAAACTAGAAATGAGTCAATTTGATCAATTGTCTCGTTTTATAAATGAGGCAATTAAAACGAGTCAATTCGAATTACCTGCCCCCACCCCAGGTAATTGAAATTGACTCAAAACGGATCAATTCAAAATACCTCAGGCAGAATTGATCCATCCAAATTTTTGCTGGCAAACGAGGCAATTTGGTACAATTGTCTCAAAACGAAACAATTGTGTCAAATTGATCCGTTACAATTCCTCATCCAAACGACCCCTAAGGTCCTAAAATGTTCTTGACACTAGAGAAACACCAACATAAAAGTATCAAAAATGTGGCCAAAACAAGTTTCAGCATCTTCCTACTTCCAAGTTTGGGCTTCAGGTAAGAAGCTGCAGAGAGATTGTTATCTTAGCTTATCATACCATGATCGGGTCACCAGAGGATGAAACGGTAAGATATATATTTCTTTGAGATAATGCCAGATTGACTGTGGTTCAAGCTTATCAGAATTTAAGAATAATGAACCTTGTCTCAGCCCCGTAGAAATAAAGAGAACACAAGTGGTAGCTATACTGAATCTATGGCTCCTGAGAGATTAAAAATTCATGATTCAACATTCTAAACTGTGTGGTAACAAATAGCAGCTTGCTTACATGCTGTTGCTATCGCACATACTCATCAAGGTTTAAACGTACCTCTAATTGTTCAAGGCGCTCTCTCTCATCCTGTGCAATTTCTTCTGGTGTCTTAGTCCTGTCTGATGGGCGAGCACGGATATCGAACACCATCTCAGAGAAAAGCTTATCGTAATAATCAGGTTGTTCCTACAGAGACACGAAAAATATTTTAATCATGCCAACAAATTAGGAAATGCTCACTGGAATTTAGAGCTTTCTAGCAATTCCAAATAAAGAATTGATTGGAGTTACTACAATATCAAAGTAAACAAAATACAGAATGTTCACTAACCAGCAGAAAATGTCAATTGCTACATGAAAAATGAAAAAAGGACGCATATTTCGAAATGTTTGGGCCAAAAAATGTTTGAATAAAATGCCATGTATTACATGCTTTTTTCTCTCTTTTTTTTACATGCGTGAGACACCAATAAATAGTTTAACCTACTCTAAGCAAATTAATCAGAACTCAGAGCAATCAAGTAATACCTGACTTGGAATTTCCGGTTTCTTAGCAGTTAACAACTTATTATTTTTGTCTTCATCCTTAGGAATGATCTTATTCACTGCAGCTTTCAAAGCACTCTTGCCAGGCTCAATCAAAGATGACAGGACCTTAGACTGCTCCAAAGATGTGAATTTCTTATCCAATTCTTCCATAAGCTTTTCATTCTCTTCCTTCTCTTTAGCCTTTTCAGCCTGGTAAGAGTAAATACAGTGTCCAAATGAAATCAGAAAATAATGTCAGTGTTACCATTAGCTACTTTCAACAGGAAAACTGAGGATATGTACCTTGAAATGTTTGCTCTTCAATATAATCTCCTGCATTACTTCCTTCTTTGATTTATGTATCTGCAAAGGTATATTCATGCTTTTAGCAATGGCAAAGGCATATTTATAAGCCAATCTTCAAAGACAAAGTGATTATGGAAAGTCTGCCATATTGATGGCAATGATAATGTTCAGTACAACTTCATAACAGTCATCACGGATTCTTGCAAGATAGAAACAAAGCTTCAAAGAGTAACTCATTGAAAATATTCTTACATTTTCTTCTGCTTCTGTCGTACCATCCTCTCCCACGTTTGGAGCATTAAGATGCCTTAAGATTCCTGACTTCTCTGCATAACAGGAAACGAGCAGACTTTTAGCCAGAGGCAAAACCTAACCTAACAAGAGACGACTATTTCTGTGCTTTAACCAAGTTTTGACTGAACCCGCAATCTGTATTTCTTGTCAGGTTAGTAAGACCATTTCAATGAGTTACTCTGAGGATTATAAGACGTAAGAACCAATAGGAAGAAATGGACTAAATAAACCAGCAATTAAGTTAGATTACTGCTGGCAATAAGCAGTCGATACATACTTTTTCCTCCATTCTGTTCTCCATAATCATCTTCGTCATCAAACGGCACTTCATCCTCAAAATCATCCCTTTCCCCAAACGAGCCAAGAGCGGAAGTGCCAAAATCATCCTCCTCTCCATCTGACAAGTTGTACTTACTCCTCTTCCCCAATTTCATCTGACAAAAGTTGAACCCAAAACTCATAAGCACCAACATAAAATTTGCATATTTTACACTTCTCCGCAATCCATAAGGACCAAGAACGCTACATTTATACTAGCTTCCAGTCAACAGAGGAGAAATTGAACCTTATGCTCCCTCTGCGACCGCATAACCGCTTTATCAAACTCTCCAAGCTCATCGTTGTTCTCTCCAATCCGGTTGTCGACGAACATAGATGACTTGGTGCTCCGCTCGTAGTCCTTCAACAGCGTGCTCTTCCGCTGTCATGGCCTTGGAGCGGAGAGGCCGACTCGGCGCTCTTCGCCCTTGCGCTTCCGGCCGAGGATGTCGAATTTGCGGCGGGACCAAATCGTCTCGAAAGGATTGTCCGCCGCCGGAGCCTTCTGTTTCATTGCGACCGCTGTTGGACCATTTCTTTTACTCTTATTGCCCTTCTTCTTCTGGCTGCCATTCTTGTGAGCTTTGTTCTGAGTCTTGGCCATGGCGAGCGATTTGGCTGGCGAAGGCAGCAGCCGGAAGGAGGGAAAGAGAGGACCGGATTCAGGGTTTAGGGGTTCTGTTTCTGTTTCTCATGTTGTTATTACAGGTGGCTTTAGGGGTTGCAGAAAGGATGGGTTAATGGGCTTGGGCTGATAATTGAGCCCATTAATAGACCCACGAACATAGTCCACGAAAAACCTCATGTGTCAAATAGCCCATATAGGTCTCAGTCCAACACTCTTACTCAGTTACGAAGATCTCGTCAGAGAAATGCTGAAAATTGCTCAACCTCCCTAACAAATTTTCCTTTCCCTTCTCCGATTCTTACTTTGATTTCTTCCAGTCCTTTTCAGTTTCGAACGAGGTAAAAGTGAGGAGCTTTGAAGCTTAAACTCCTGGAAAAAAGGAAGAAAAAGAAAGACCAAAGCTAGCAAACAGAACTTCATACCAGTAGCAGCAAAGGTCGCAACAACTTCTTTTTGCCTCCATCTCTTTGTTCCTATGTACGTCCTTGGCCAACCCTGTTCATTGTTTGCATTCCTTAGAATTGGGTTTCCTCTGGCTTCAAGTTCCGAGCACTCTAGCCCATCTGGGTCAGGCGCAATTGTGTCAGAATTATGCTTCATAGTTTATGTCGGCTACGTGTTTGAGTAAATCCCTGACTGAAAATTTTCAAGCCTTTGTTTCACCGTCTGTGTTATCTATCTAACCCATCAGGGTTCTTACACTGGCAATCTCTATTTTACGTGTCCAGCAGAGGCATATTATCTACTGAGATCGCAAAGTTCAAAGTTTTGTAATTTCTCTAAGCAATGGGTGGGTTTCTGTCTTGCCTTGGTCTTGCTGATAGCCCAGCACAAAATGCTAACGGCAACCACAGGGATCGATCTTCCGAGAGTTCCAGCTCCCTTTTCATGGAGGTATACAGAAACCCAATTGGGACTTGTGGTTGACTGAACTAATATTTGAATACTCTAGGGTAATGCCGATGTTGAAATTGAAGGGTTTTGCATTGTGTTGCAGCGTGGAAACCAAAGCGGAATGTCAAGTAAGGGAGAAAATTTAGTAGCAGTTATTTACCCCTCAAAGCTTGCTGCTACAGACTTGGATGACTTTCTCCCATCAGGTGCGGTGGACGAATGTCCCATATGCCTTGAAGGTATATATGAAGAATTTTACTTCCTTCAAAATGGTTACCTCCATGAATGCTTGGAATAATTTTTCTGATGGATGTATTGATGATGTTCTGACAGAGTATGATAGTCAGAATCCGAGGACTGACATGCAATGTAAGCACTATTTTCATCTTTCCTGCGTGCTGGAGTGGGCGCAGAGAAGTGCAGCATGTCCAATATGCAATCAGGTGACTGCTAATTCTACAACGATATTAATTCATATTGAAGTAAATATCTTGATGTTAATTTTGACACTCGATTTCTTCTGTCGGTATTCCTTCAGGAGTTTGTATTTGAGGAAGAAACCTGAAGAGAGAGCACGAGTATACAACTTGCCGAGAGCCATGGCACCTTGTAGAAAAAGAAGCCCCTTTTTCTCTGGATTCTGCAAACAAAACTCTTCACCATCTACAATTTTGGCGATCTATTTGTTCATTTCATTCAATTCGTGTACATAGAACCAATCAAGTGTTCTATTTTGTCATGGTTACTTTTTTCCCCTATGGAACACAATAAAAAAAAAGGAAACAAGAAAGGTGATGATCACTTGAGTAATCAGTAACTTGATTTCCAAGAAGGTGGTTCTGGGAACAAGAAACTTACAATGTTGCCCTACCCTTCCCAACACACTGTTGCAAAGCCTTGCTTCAGAGTTGAGGAAGTCCCAAAACAGCTAGTAATTTTTTCTGGATCATACTCTATGAATTCAAACAGGAATGAGTACTACTTATCATGCACCACTTTCCATAGTTTTTGGTAAATCAGGAACTAGACTTTCCTTAAACCCTAAAATGGAACCCAGAACCCTAAATCCATTTCCTGCTAAATCAACAATGAAGTATTTCCTTAATAAATCCCTAAAATAGATTACAGAATACTCAATCCAACTCTTTCCAACACATTTCCAGTTTCACTTCATCAACCTAATTAACTTATGAACCCTAATTAACCAGAATCTGAACTAGCATACCAGCAGAACCTCCAAAATGAAAGATGAAACTGGAAATAGCTCTAAATCCACAATATGCATTTCATACACATGCTCTTCTTATTATCATCACCACCATCAGTGGGGTAAGAGAGCCAGTTCATGAGCAATATATCAAAATCCAGTCCCTTCCACGCGTCTCCTTTCACCTCACCAAGATGCTTATAAACTATATATAATACATAAACACAAGTTCACCATTCATGGTTTCGTACCCAAAACATTATATATGTGAATAGCAATTCATAAGAGCTAATCAGCCAACCAAAATTAGCAGCCATGGCTAGCCAGTGTGTATACACATGAAGAGTGCATCATGGCTGAGAGTCTGATAGGTGAGCTCCCTTAGATGTTGGAAACAACTGGAAACTGCAATATTTTCAGGCAGCAAAGCAGCCGAGGTTGCAGGAGTAAATGGGTTCCAGGCTGAGGTCAAGGTCATTCCTGCTCGTCCTGCCTTCTGGACCCTGCTGGTGGTGATGATGATGATGATGATGATCTTCATGGTAACTAGTTCCACTGCAGTCAATCCATAAACAAGCAAGAATTGAAGGAGTCGAAAGGAAGAACTAAAAGATTGGGGGGTAGGGGGTTTAATTGGTAAGATGTAGTAACAAGGAACAACTTACCCAATGTTCAAGGAAGGGAGTGGTGGTGGTGGCTGTGGGAGAAGGAAATGCGAAGGGCTTGGAGCATGATGGTTTTGGTGTGTCCAGAATGCCTGCTGCTGATGTTCTGCCACTGCCACTGCCTTCTCCTTCTCCTTGATCTGTAAATGATAAGATGAGTTTTTCATAATGTTCATTGATCATATGATCCAATTCGAAAAGTCATTATTGACCAACCGACCTGCTTGGCTAGAACATCATTTTGCTCTTGGATTGCTTTTTCCTGTCAAAGATACAAAAGGTTTGGTAGAATGTTATGTAAACCATAATTTGTAAATCAATTAATTGATGTGAGACCAAGACTACAGAAAATCTTATACTTAGCATTATTATATTAAACAGCTCGTCTAATGATAATGTATCAATAAAAAATTTCAACTATTCAAGTCATTTGATGGTGTCAATCGAAATATACTAGACACTCCGGTTGTCACTCAGTTTGGTTTGGTTTGGTTAACCAAACCATTAAGTATGAAAAATCAAAAATCAAGTCTAGCAAATTGCCAAAATTCAAAACTGTTAACTGCCTTATTGGTTATTTGTTAAACAATAATCGATAAGTCCTCTATCGATTTTGGTTTAGTTTGGATGAACCTAAGAAATAAAAACCAACCCCGTCGTTTGGGAAATTCAAAAATTGGAATTAGAAAAGACAACAACTACATAAGTTCGTGACAAAACGTTGTTATTGATATATATATATTAGGCTTAGTAAGGGATGTTATAGGTTTCTTATTGGTTTGTCATTTTTAACTAGAGTCAAAATCATTAAGATGGTAAACCGTTTCAAAATCGAAAACCAAGACCATTAAACTTCTTATTGATTTGGTTTTGGTTAAAATCGGGAAACTAAAACCAATCTGACCACCGTATTAGACGCCATGCTTGAAAATGTTTGTTGTAATAGCTACTAGACTAGAAGAATAAATCCATGAATTAAAATTCTTTATCCAAACTGAGTGATCCTAATTACTATATGGGTCCATTAACCTTGATTAACCTAAAATGGACTGAATAGTAACTTACTTACATGCATTACCCAAACTAAATTGAATAACAAGGGATACTACCATACAGACGTTATAAATGAGCTTAAAACTAATCCGTACTAGAAACTCTTGCCTGCTTCCTACATTCAAAATTTACCATGTAGGTATGCACACCTGAGCCTATCTATTTTGTGTAAGTGGAATTCTCAATCATTTTCTTTGTATTACATATAGTTCAACAGCACATTTTTTTTACAATTTAAGAGCACATATTATAAGTGCGAGGGATAATTAATTATATATTAACTTATTATCATATTTTTATAAATATTAGAAGCATAAAAAGCATTTGTATAGAAATGAGAATTAGAATATAACTTATACAAGAAAAAAAGTAAATAAATTATAGTACTACCATATATATATATATAATTCATGTTTCAAAAATGCACGCTTAACCTTATGCTTAGGTACGTCTAGACGCAAGGCAATGGCAAAATGCCTGGTCTAAGGGTTTCTCGCCTAATTGGGTACTAAAACACGTCAATGGAGTAAGGTGTCATCTAAGTCTCTCCTAAACATAACTAGATGGAGTTAGGAAGTCAATATTAAATGAGAAAATTAACGTCAACTATGAAATTCAATTTCTATATTAATATTTTCAATAGCTCAAGAACTTTGTGAGCTATTGAGCTATGTTTCCATGAATTCGTGAGCTAGTCATTAAGTATTGAGTAAGTTATTAATCATTTTAACTGAAGTGAGAAAGTGATGTAGATTATTATTTCATTCATCATGCATAACAAATAGCTATTTTTCTTCCAACCCCTAGACACGCTTAGTCTAGGCTAGCTTACGCCTAGCGCCTTCTTGAATATATAGAATTGATGACTCACCTTTCTCTGAAGAGATGAGATGGACTCATGCATCAGTTGGTTCTGCCATGGATCCAAGAGAGAATGAATACTTTATCATTATTTAATCAATTAAACAAATTATACTAATAACTTTAGTACTAATTAGAAAGTAGAAACTGCAATAGAGCATGCATGCAGGCTAGGATTAATATAATAATAATAATAATAATAATGTATGTTAATTACATACTCTTCTGGATCGAATGTTCTTGAGAGCAGAATCGAGCTGCTGCTCTAAGTTATGCAGCTCTTTGGTGCTCATGGTGTCCAGCTCCTCCCCCATATAGTGCCTGCACCAATTAATTCAACAGCATCATCCCCAATTCGGTTCCCAGAGAATCAATTGACTAATCACATAATATAACAGCTGTTGGAATCAAAACTTGATCAATATATATACCTGTGGTTCCTCTGCAGAAGCTCAATCTTGGCCTTGAGCCTGTTGTACTCCACTACCCAGTTCCCCTGCAAATTTTATTTACACACAATTTGTTCATCAGACTTTGTTGCTAATTAGTAAGATTGATAAACTGGTAATACTTATATATATATTTACTACCTGTGTGTCAAGTTCAGTAGCTGCACCTACAAGCTGCCTCTCAGCGTAAGAATACCTCTCATAGCGCTCTAGTATTTTCTCCATGCTGTACATGTTTCAACACAACCGTAATCACAGATCAGCATTCCAAGAGAGAAAATAAAGCAAAAAAGGTAGTAAAAACACATCAAACGTACAGCGGGAAAAAAAAAAAAATTAAAACCCATAAGGGAGATCCAAAGCCAAAGTTCATGGGAAGTTGCACCACCACAAACACAGCAGTCGTAAACCCATCGGATAATAAGAAGCCATCTTTCCTTTCTTTGCTGTGTACTCCCAGCTACGTACTGTACTACTATAATAATAGAGCAGAAGAAGGAAAAAGAGAAAAAGAAACATAAAATATTACCATTCCCTAGACTCAATTAAGCTAAAACTCACTCAAATCAAATACCGAAGGCAAAAGGATAGAAACCAAATAAACCATAATCTGAAACCCAGATTGAAGATATATAGTTAACTAGTTAGGCAGTGAATTACGACGTACGAGGAGTCGGTGGCGTATTCGAAGAGCTTCCCTTTGTGGGAGAAGACGATGAGGGCGACCTCAGCATCGCAGAGAACAGAGATCTCGTGGGCTTTCTTCAGCAGACCAGCTCTCCTCTTTGAGAAAGTCACCTGCCTGTTGATCTTGTTCTCTATCCTCTTCAGCTGCACTCTCCCCCGACCCATTTTTTCTATTTTACGCTATTATTCTTGGACTCAAAATACGTATATAAATTTTCCCAGGTGGGTGGGTAGATGAATTTTGCTCAAAATAACCCAAACAGCCAGACCTCAACAAACCCACAAAAAAACAGAACCCCCAAACACCTGAAACCCCAATCTAATTTAGTAGTAGGAGTAAAAGTAGTTTGTTTTACCCTCCCCTTTCTATGGCATGGCAGCAGCTACCACAGCTCTCTCTCTCTCTCTCTCTCTACCTACACATACACAGAAACAGAATGAAAGAGAAGGAGGATCTCTTATCACTAAAATGGGTTTCTGTTTCTGTGTTTTCTTTCCTGGCTAGCTCTCTCTTTCTGGGTTTCACTTGTTTCCTTTTTTTCTTAGCCCTCTTTGCTCTGGTTGCTAAATGGGGCTCTGTCTAAGACACAGTGCACATATATAGAATTGGCAACCCCCAACTCTCTCTACTAACTTTTCTTCTTATCAAGGAGAGAGAGAGAGAGGAATAGCAGTAATGGTGGTGGTATTGTTGGTGGTATATGTGAAAGAAATATCAAAACCACGGTGGTAAGGAAGGAAGGGATAGATGGATGGGAAAGGGACGAACTGAGAGATGTGGGGA